ATTTAATATAATAAAATAGAAAAAAATATAACAGATAATATATGATCAATTCATTTCTATGTTCAATTCAAGGCATTTATTTTCATATTGGGCTGCTTATTAAAACCTTTCTTAATTGCAATAATAGCATTAGTTATATACATATTTTCAATTATAACTTATCTAAATCATCTATTATTTTTTAATTTAACACTGCATATACAATTACTTTATATTATACTAATGCAGACTATATATAAATTATATATATATATGTACGATACATAAATTTCTTAGCTTCATAATTTTGCATACATATCATTCTAGATAGCAGTTAACCACACATTTCGTAATTTGTTTCATTATATTCCTGATATATTTAATAAAATTCAATAGCAATAGAATTTATGTTAATATAATATATTATTACAATTTAAGAAAAGCTTGTGAATATTTACCATAATCTCGCATCATTTTTACTTCACTATTTTATAAAATCTTTTTTATTATATGAACAATGAATACTAAAAATGGTTAGCGCACATTAGAATTATAAAAATAGTTTGATTTATTTGGCTGTTATATTTATTAAGACACATACAGCATGCATCTAATAGCTAAATAAGCCAAAATACCAAGTTATAATCAAGTAAGTCCTAATAATTAATACTATAACATAGTACTAAAATAGAAACTACTACTAATTTGCATGCATCTAATGGCTGAATAAATCAAGATATCTCTCTATAAAGTAAAATTATAATTCAGTTTTAGTATAGAACTATTTCTATAAAGTTGTATATAATAGTAATTGTAATTAATATAACTCAATATAGAAATTATATATATCAAACTTGCATGTATCTAACGGCTAAGCGAACAGAGATTCAATCAAACATCTTCTAGCAAAATACCTTAGTTTGCATATTTTGCTTCATTTAGTTAAATATTGGGTTTCAATTTCTTGAACAACACATTGTATTTATTATAGTATATGAATGAACGAAGATATATAAACAACAGTTTTTAATCTTGAATAAAGCTCCAAAAGTTCTAACTTCTAAATAAATAAAAATAAATAAATAAAATAAACCTATAGCTAATGCAAGATTTTGCTGCTTTATTGATTTCATTATCTGTATGATAAAATAATTCATTTTTAAAAACATAAAGCTCAAGGTTAACAGAAATTTTGCAAAAGCTGTAATCAATTTCGCCCAATAGAATCATTTTGGAAAAATAATAAGAATGAAAAAACCTGTCAAAAGTGCAAAGAAAAGAAAATAAACAAAATGTACAAAAACATGCTGTTGCAAATACTCAAGCACCTCCTGGTTATAGTATAATAGATAATTTTCTTAATGCTTTGAAAACTATAAAGAGTCAAAACATAGAAAATTTCTGACAAATTATTAATATTAATGAATCTAATTAATCCAAAAAAGATTGCAACACATATCTCAAATAACATTCTCGTGATTATAAACTTCAAATTTAAGTAAGAAAATATAATATATTGAAATTAGTATGTACTTAATTAAAAAAACTAATATTCTAATTAAAAAAACCAATCTTTTCAAAGTTACAAAAATAAACTTCCACAGAAATTAGATTATTTATCAACATTCAGATACTACTGTGCGCAATTAATTGATCAACAAAAAAAGCCAAAAAAATATAAAGATTCTACTAAGCATAGAGATTGTTTGCCAATGCAACAATTCCACTGCAAAGGCTGGTTAAAGATTACTGTAGACACAGAAAAAAAAGAAGTTTTTATTGAATTAACTTATAAATATTATGCCAAATATGCTGATGTATGTGTTATAAATGAAATAAAAGAATACGTTCAAAATAATCTTCACCAAACTTCCAAGATTATTTGGTAAAATCTTGGTACAAAAAGCCCAAATATTACTGAAAAACAGATTTATTATTGGTGGATATATTTCAGTCAATATATCTGGAGAAAAGATGAAGATTAAATTCAATCAGACATTAAAATTATTGAAGTATATGATTATACTGAAATAATATTAAATATTATGGATAATGGAATTACTATAATCAGCTTTGGGCTTATAGAAATTATTAATAAATTAGATATAAATGCAGTTAAGATCGGTATTGATACAACATGTATATATTAATATTAGTGTTGCAAGTTAAAGCTCAATTTGAACAAATAATCTTCAATATTTCAGTCTCATTCAAATTGAAACTTCTGAATTTTTCTTAGCCTCAAAATTGACTTGCAAAACTACCAACTTATTTAAATTAAATTAACCTATTTTTATTAATATTTAAATGTTAAATTAATCATAACATATTTAAAATTAAATTTACTATT